GCCTACAGGAGCAGCCAGGGTGTGTGTGGGTGGCTTTAGGTGGCAGTATCTGGTCAACCTTCACATCTCTGTCATTTTCTGGCAGATGAGGGAAGATCCCAATAGTAGCAAACTATCTGCAGCCTGTTTTGAGCTGAAGGTCTAGGGCTTGCTGTGCACTCTCGTCTCGACACAAACCGTTTCAACTCACAACGGACGCTGAGGGCAAATACCATTACACTGCTTATGAAAATATACAGGCTCCTGGAAACATCTGTCTGTACACATGCACGTACGCACAAACCTATGGCGATCCCAGGTGGTGCAAATGGTAACGTACTTGCAGCTCACTGGAGAGGTTGGTGGTTTGAATCCACCTACGGGCACTTTAGAAGAAAGGCCTGGTTGATCGGCTTCCAAAAGTCAGCTACTGGAAATCCTAGGCAGCCCCGTTCTCTCGTCGGGCAGCCCTGACAAGGGGTCCACATGAATCAGGATCAACTTGACCAAGAACTTGACTAAGCAAGCCACCAAGAACAATTCCATCTCTCTCTCTCTCTCATGCACACACAGGAGCGCCAGACAGTCGTGGAAAAATGCCTTTACTGTTGTTCCCTTTTTCTACAACGTATTTGAAGTCCTCCTGTCTCTATCCCAAACCCCATCAATTCAGGTTATACAGCAATAACAATAATTAATAATATAAGTCATCTCGCGTGGATTAGGATACATTTGTGACTCTTTAGTCTCGTTAGCCTTAATCCAGTGGTTCTCAACCTTCCTAATGCCGTGACCCTTTCATACAGGTCCTCATGTGGTGGTGACCCCCAACCATAACATTATTTTCATTGCTACTTCATCATTGTCATTTTGCTACTGCTAGGAATCGGGTGACCCCTGTGAAAGGGTCGTTCGACTCCCAAAGGGGTCACAACCCACAGGTTAGGAACTGCTGTCCTAATCCTTCCCTGCAGCAGGGACATTGACCAGACTATACTTCTGAACCTCCACGCAGGGACAAGAGGGGCCTGTGGTGCCTTTGGAGCCCCAACAGCCTCGTCTTAGGGGTCTGCACCCCGAGGCTGGCTGTGGCCCACAGGCAGTAGCACCCTGAACTTTCGCCATCCAAGGGGCCCCCAGCAGCGCCCTCGGGGGCGAGGGGTGGGATTATGCAGCAAATCAACAGGCTTCAGTGGTGGCACCCTACCTCGTCCCCATGAAAACCCTGCCCAGGGAGGTGACCTCTCTCCTGTTCTTTGCCCTGACTCCTGACCCTAGACCACCAACCGTGAGGCCTAGGCTCCAGCTTGTGAGTCAGCAGAGAAGCGGAGAACCTCCCTCCTGTTAAGGACGGAAGTTAGACCGAAGGAGCTGGCTTCCACAGGCAGGATTAGCACGTCAAGGCAACCGCTGTCCTTGACGTGTTTCCTGGTGACCCTGATGACCCTATTAGTAGCCACAGTAATCAATCCTCAAGGCACCTGATGACGTCTCGGATGACACCCCAGGGTGTTAACTTCCAGGCTAAAGGCGGAAGCCACCTTCCTGTCGAGCTGCTGGGGACCAGGGCAAGTGTGACTGGGATGCAGGTTTGGGGCAGAAGCAGGACTTCTTCTGAGTCATTTCAGGGGTGACCAGATGGGCCGAAGGCACACCAGGCACCAGCACCGGCTGGCTGGGAGCAGGGGGCGCTGGCTGGGAGCAGGGGGCGCTGGCTGGGAGCAGGGGGTGCTGGCTGGGAGCTCAGCAGCCACCAGCAAGTCCACGGGAGCCATTCTGGAGTCCCTTCTCTGAGGCCGTTGGCAATGACGTATACAGACCACGGATGATCGCTCAGAGGGGCCTCATCCTTCCCACCTCCGGCCTCTTCCTTTTGCTGAAAGGAAGGCATACAGGGCCCAGCATCTACCGGTCCATGGCTCCCGCTGCCAGCCCGGGGACTCAGAGGAGGGTGGGCTGGGAACCAGAAACAGTCTGGGCTACTCTCCCCAAAGACCCAGGCATCCTGCAGTCCAAGAGGGTGTTCGTTCATTCATTCCCTCATTCATTCACCCAGTCAGCACTGGTGGCATCCGGCTGGATGGCAGGCGCCCCGGGCACTCCGTGGTGACCTGGGCAGCAGAGGTCCTGCTCTCCAGAAGCTTCTATCCTTC